GTTTTAGAAAAACTTGAGACAAAGAAGTAGACACCAAATACTTACCTGTGTTATTCAGCTGCAAACTGCTCGAGCGACTGACGCTTTTGAAGTGAGAACTGACCCCTTTAACAAACAATTTCAAAATGGGACTGACCTAGACGAGAATTTTAAAACGGGACTGACCCGAATCAAAACTTAAAATGGGACTGGCCCAAACAAAAATTTAAAACGGGACTGACCCGAACAACAAATTTAAAACGGGACTGACCCGAACAAGGAATTTAAAACGGGACTGACCCGAACAGGAAATTTAAAATGGTACTGACCCGAACAGAAAATTTAAACGGGATTGACCCGAACAGGAAATTTAAAATGGGACTGACCCGAACAGAAAATTTAAACGGAATGCATACTAGTGGGGTTGACCCATGTTTAGTGGCAGTGATGAATGAAATGCCTTGACAATCGGTCAGTGGGATTAAACCCGAGCCTGTCGAGAAAATCAGAAATAGAAAGGCACGTTAGTGGGATGAACCCAATGCTAACGGAGATAGACTAAAAACAACACACACGTTAGTGAGATAGACTTGATGCTAACGGTGGTTGAATAAAAACGCACACGTTAGCAACGTTAGTGAGATAGACTCGATGCTAACGGTGGTGGAATAAAAACGCACACGTTAGTGAGATAGACTCGATGCTAACGGTGGTTGAATAAAAACGCACACGTTAGTGAGATAGACTCGATGCTAACAGTGGTTGAAGTCGGTGAATTAAATGTGGTTGTCAAGAAAGGAGGTAGAAGGGTGCACTCCGAATGCTGAGACTCGCCAACAAGAAATTAAAATTTGAGATTGAAATTGATTTCTTCAAGAAATAAGAAGTTAAACCTAATTTTTGATTTTTCCGTTTTTCCCTTTTCGTTTGGGAGAAACTTATCAAGGAATAATTTTGCCCCAGTCTCCACCACTTATTGTGCAACCGATCATTTGATTTGCATTATGGCAGGGTTGCTTCTCCTTAAAACTTTGATTCATCTCTTCTTTGGTCCGAACCCTTCAATTCTTGGGTGATACTCCACAGTCATACAAAAATTGCCCCAGTGTGTTGTTATTGGACCATTGGACCTACAAAAAGTAAAAATAATGGTAATGATAGATAATGCCACCACCATCCGATCAATCTTACTTTCAAGAAATGTGTAAACATGAGTACTTGGACGTTTTTCCGATATAGCGAAAACTTCACTTTACTCGGTGAACTGTGTCAAGATTCCTCAACTTCCACTGCTAACAAGACCCTTGGTATCCAGTCAATCATAGGGGTGGCCATTTGATAAATTGTTGACCCAACTTCGCCTCTCGAATCACATTCCATCTTCTTGACTGCCAATGCTAATAAGACACTTGGTATCCAGGTAATTCCAATAAATCACAGGGATTGCCATTGGATAAATCCAAAAGATAAATGAGACCATGAAACAAATGAAAGAATATTATATTTACACAATCAATGATGAAAATCTCTGTGATTTGAAAACAAAAATTAATTTAAGAAAAATGAATATGTAAACTTAACAATTTATATTGGGTAATCCAAAACCCTTTAATCTCAAACAAATTATCACTGTTGACTCTTTGGATATCATCCTTCCAAAATTCAATGTCGGCAACCGAACCACAATGTGAATAGAAATTTCAACGAACTGAGTCACTAGCCTTTCAAATCCAAGCTTACTTCTCCTCATAAAATCCTACCCTAGTGCCCTTTCGGGTTTTCACTAAGGCTATCCTCACCTTTTTATTTTTCTTCTTTTATTTTTCTTTTTCTTCTTGGGTGATACTCCGGTTTTCACTAATGAACCAATCCTGCCGATAGCCTTCATCAACTCAAAATGTGTTTAAGAAATGATGGCATCAGTGCGACAAACCTTCCCTTGCAAATTGGCGAAGATGTATTCACATCATTTGTCATTTGATTAAGAAAATTTCCTTAAAGAGGTGGTGCAAAGAACGGAAGTAAGGACTTTTGGCTTTTGTAATGGGGTCTGGCGGGGTGATAAGAAAAGGTTAAGGCTTGAAGGCAGATTTTATGAATGGTTTAAATGATCTGAGATCGCATTGTTGCGCCAACCCTATTTTAGGGTTAAATCAAAACTGGCCCCAGTTTATTCTCAATTGAGGCTCTCTTTTCTTTCATTTTTCTTTTCTTCCTTTTTCATTTTCGGCCTTCTGCCATTTCATTGAAATTTTCAAAATTTGCCCCAGTTCATGCTTAGCCGAGGTTCTCTTTTCTTTCATTTCCTTTCTTTTGGCCTTCTGCCATTCCTTTGAACTTTTCAAAATTTGCCCCAGTTTATTTTTTAATTGAGGTTCACTCTTTTTCTTTTCTTTTATTTCCCTTTCTTTCGGCTCAAACTTACCCCAGTGTAGGGTTTACGATTCTCAGGGGTTATCAAACGAAATGATTTATTCTGAAGGTTTAAAAGGGATAACTAGGGATAAAATGTTTAATTGGAAAGGAAGAGGGCCTAACTTTCATTCCATTCTTCGCATTAACCCTAAAAGGAAACTTCCATTTATCAGATGAAAATTTCTTACACATCTCTGAATTAATTGGCTGAGGGAACAAGTGCTCCACCAAGCAATATCTTTTTGATAATAAGAGCACCTTGCCAATTCGCGGCGAACTCTTCTTTTGGCTTCATTTTGTACTTACGAAAACCACCTTAATGCTTTGCTTCCTTGTCTGAATGGTCATGATTTGACCCTTTAATGGTAATCACGGACCAATTCTTTTGATCATATTGACCATGACGGGCTGTGTTTAACTGCTTCTTATTCCTAATCTTGATCCCGATTCGGCTTGAACATTTTTTTATTCCATTCGGGCTTCTTTGAAACATTTTCAGATGTCTCTTCACCACTCTTCTCATTTTGAAATTCAAATTCACATTCGTGAGATCGCTGCCATCAAATTTCTGAACAGTGATATCCAAAGGGTCAAACGGTTTTATTCTGGGCCATCTGAAAAGAATGTATAAGTCACAATATAAAACTGTACATTTTATTGAATTTCCAGACAAAACCAAACTTAATATCATGAAACGTGTCTTTAGTAGTCACTTGATTGAAAACTATTTACAAAAAACATAGTTAAACAAAAGGCACATGTATGAACGATTTTCATTGGTTTTAACCAAAACAACTCCCCAAATTTATCGAAACTTCCCTTCAAGAGAGAGGAATCTCACTAATTCAGCCATTTCCAGGATTTTCAAATTTCTTCATTGGGGGGTAAATGCCTCAAAGGTGTCCTTGTGTTCAGGAAAGGGATTCGTACTTATGCTCGGTCCTTGTTTTTCCCTTTTCCTTAACACTATATCTCCTGCTTTGATCATGTCCTGGATCTTATGTTTTAGTACCCAACAATTACTGGTCGAGTGACCGGGGGCTCCAGAATGGTAGGCACAAGCGGCTTGAGGGTCGTACCCAGCAGAGAGACCTCGACGAGAGTAGTTTGGAGGAGGTATGTCATCGATTTTACCGGCGGCCTTGAGCTGTTCGTACAGTTGGTCAATGGGTCGGCCTAAGTTGGTAAAAGTTTGAGATCGACCAGGTTTTTGTATTTTATTGGTTTGAGGAGGGTTGTAAGTCTGTTGGTTTGGTGGAGCAGGTCTGGGATTATAAGGTAGACGAAGTCGAATTTGAGAATTGTTTTGAGATATTAGGGAGGGCATTGTAGGTGGGCTAGCATAGTTTGGCTGAGGTCGAGGGTGATTGGTAGTAGTATGGTAAACAGGGCGTGGGTTTGGGTAGCGAGATGAATATGTGTGGTAATGTTGGGATCTGGGTCTTGAAAACGGTCATTGGCCCCACACAAAAGTAGTTTCCTCCTCTTTCTTCTTATGTTGAGGCTCCCTTCCATTATTACTCTGACCTTACAAGGCGTCCAACTGTGATTTTAAAGCTGATACATTGACAATTTTCCCTGCTTTGACGTATTCGTCATATTCCTCCAACTTATTGATAATTGCTGCAAATGAACACCCGGTCAGGCGAAAAATCTCCTCAAAATAAGGCGGGTCATGAGCTTTGATGAACGTACGAACAATCTCATCTTCAGTCATGGGAGGCTCTACCTTGGCGGCCAATTTCCTCTATCTCTTCGCATGTCTTGTGGTCCTCGGATGGTTTCCTCTTGGTTCCCTCCAATGTGGTCCTCGTTGGAGCCAGCTCGCAATTGTATTCATATTGCCTTACAAAAGCGGTTGATAAGTCCATCCATGTCCTCATATCCTCGGGCTTCAAATTGGAATACCAGTCCAGTGCATCGCCTTCTAAGCTTTCAGGAAACAAACGAACTGGTAGATTCTCGTCATCTATTTGCTTGCCCAACTTGTTGGCGAACATTCGGAGATGCGTCTTGGGGTTGCCCGTTCCGTCATACTTGCTAAACTTGGGCGTTTTGAAACCCCTGGGCAATTGCATATCCGGAAATAGTCACAGCTCGTTGTAGTCCAGACCTCCTTGTTTGTTCAAACCTTGGCTTTTCCTTATGAACTCCTCAAACTGATCCAATCGCTTTAGCAAATTCTTATCTATCGACGCGGACGACTCCCCAGCTTCTGCTTTCCCTTGGGTGGCGGTATCCATGTTAAATAGCTCAGCGATGGAGTAATAATGTGGTCCCTGAGGTTCGAGTGGCATATTCGGACTAATGTGTGGATAATTTTGGGGAATTTGGGGGTGAGGAGGATTGGTTTGGATAGCGGGTGCCTGGGTATGGGGTAGGCCATGAGTGGGATAGATAAAAGTTTCTTCATGCGGATTTGCAAAATGCGGGGTAAAGGGAGTTTGAGTATAGGGTAAAAGTATTGGTTGTGGTTCAGGTTGGTTAGTAGGTAAAGGCTCAGGTTGAGCACCGCTACCACTACCAGCAACCAACCGGTCGATCACGCGCCGTTGTGTGGTCATTTTCATATTCAGCTCATTGAATTTATTCAAAACTTCGCTCAGTTAAGCTCCTCGATTTGCCAAATCAGCTAACCGGGCCGTTACAGGCCTGTCGGATGATTCCGGGTATGTACCCATGTTTACACAGTTTCTCAAAGCCCGACTGCGAGATCGTATAACGATGGGGCTTTTTGTGTAGCTATATTTGAAAAACACCTAAAAATTTAGGAAAAATCCCTATTTAGACTCCCTTTCTGGCTTAACTGCTGTTAAAAGAAAGAAAGAGAAAAAGACACGAGTTAGTAAAAATTAAAGTAATTCGGATGCATGTCCTATGGGGGAACCTTTTTGTGCCAAGGGTAGGCCTAGAATGAAAATGCAATCCTCCAGAGCAGGCACTATACAATACCTGATGGATCCGATCAACTTATTGAGTGAAAAATAATTAAAAATAAAAATTGTCCAATTGGAGTGAAAAAGGGACATTTGTCCCAAAAATGAGGACAAAGTCCGAATGGATCGCCTGTTTTGATCGACACACAAAATGATGTGTGAAAAATTATACTCTTAAAAGGATTACATATCTCGACTAATTTATTCAGTGAATCTTAGACTTAAACCCTAAAAGGGAAAAAACAAGTCAAAGGGATTGGATGGAATTGATGATTTATTCAAAATTGACTAGATCACCCCAAAAATAGGTAAACTGATCAAATGAATTGAATGAAATTGATGATTTATTCAAAATTGATCAGATCACCCTAAAAAAGGGTAAATTGGTCGAATGAAATTGATGATTTATTGAAAATTGACCGGATCATCCTAAAAAGGGGTAAATTGGTCAAATGAATGAAAATGATGATTTATTGACTAAATTGTCCTAAAATGAATGAATTGACAAAATGAAATTGATAAATAATTTGATCAAATGAATTGAACGGAATTGATAGTTTATTCAAAAATCAATGGAATTATCTCCCCTTTGGTAGTTTCAAAAATGCATTGCGATGCATTAGCCTATGAGCCTCCTACAATCAAGATTTGGCCTCAATAAGTTTACCATCTCAATAATGAGGAATTATTTGTGAATTTCTTCAAGTTAATGTCCTTTAAGCAAGGGATTTTTACCAGCTATGTTAAAAAAGGCCAAAGAATGATTGTTAGATGCTCATATTCTAATGTACCAAAGATCGCCCCAGGGTCATGGAAAGGATTAGATCCTACCTTACCTTGTGCACTACCCCTTTGGATGGTACAAAAATATAAACGTGCAAGTCTCCTTGGATTAAATATCCGAGACACAGGGCGGTTTATTCCTAACGTGGGATCCCCTAAATGGCATTCCATTTCTATGGTTTATGCGTGATGCCAGTTTATTAAAGCAGTAAAATATGCAATTTGAAATGAAACATGACCTAAGGGACCCTTTATTTGCCAGGGTAGGCCTAAAATGATATGGCATTATTAATTCATGAACGAAATATACCAAAATTTCTTAAACGTGCAATAGCCTATCTACAAGGGTAGGTTCTAAAAGAAGATCATGCCAGACCTTTTATCTCTTAATGTTTGTGAATGCAAAAGGCAAGAAACAAGGAAAGTTAGCTCAACACATAACACATTGTGGCAATCAAATAATAATAATAAAATATAGAAAGCAGAAATAAGGTGAGAGCGTTGGAATCCCTCCCCTCGTGCATAGTGTCCCTAATTCAGACTACGGTCGACTCTACCCTAGGCAATTCTATTATGGATGCATGAGGTTTGGTTCACTAATGCATCTAGACTCAATACGGCTTCGGCTCCCAAGCCTTCAGACCTAAAGGCGAAGGGTCATCACTCCCAGGGCCTTTGATCGGTGGCTCGAGTGATCCCTTAGGTAGCGCTATGGGTGCAGAGCACACCATCCGCCTACCCAAGGCAATCGATCCTAATCCTACAAGGAGGTGTGGGAAACGCCCACGAAAAAGAAAAAAAAAGGGTAAATAAGACTATGCATGCACGTATGAGGTGCTTTCTTATCGAGGGGAGGGATTGTACCATTAGATGCGGTCGAAGGCTCTAGGGTAACTACCCCCCATCCCAAAATGCAATCATAAAACAAGTAAAAGTAAACAAATAAATGAACCATCCATTCATCACATACGTAGTGTGCGAAGAGCGATTGTGCGCGTGATAGATGCAAAATCCCTAAAAGAGAAAAAGGGCAAAAGGAAAAGAAGAATGCAACCCTAAACCTCCAAATGTGATATATGAAAAGGTTAAAGACGAAAAAGATTGACTAAATCGAATTTGCTCGGACTCTCTAAGTCCCCAGTGGAGTCACCAGCTGTCGCGCCCCATTTTTAATAAGAAAAATAACAAGTTTAGAAAAATGGCTTTTGATTCAATTTTTGATTGAAAAATGAATTTTTGATTTAAAAAGAAAATGAAAAAACGTGGGTCTAAATGGGACTTGAAAATGCGACGATTTGACCCAAAATAATAGTTTAAAAAGGGTTTTTAAAACAAAATCGGAGTCGCCACTTGGTATAGAGTTAAGGTGTACCAAGTCACCTAAAAATGAATTTTTCTAGGGAAAAAGTAGAAAACCCCTTTTAAACGACTCCTAGTCTACGTAAATCAAAGAAAAAGGTTCGGGAGTTACATTTGAAGAAAGGGAAGGCAAGGATAAAAATCCGAGGCACCCTTTCGACCTAGCCAAGGCTAGTTGCGTGATTTAGTCAAAGATTTTCTTATTTTAACCTAAAGATTTATCACATTTGGATGTACTATATGAATGCAAACTCTAGACCTAGGAGGGTATCGGGGTGGTCAAAATTTCTCTTCAAAGCTTGAATGGTGCCAATCACATTAATTGTGACGCCCAATAGTGACTCTTTGGAGAAGTCACGAATAATGCAAAAATATGAGACTCTAAGAAAAGAAAAGTAAAAAAATAATTATACAAATATACGTGACCTAAAGGAATACATCATGTCGGGTGCGGGGGACTAATGTTCGTGACTTCAATGTTCCCTTTAATAGAGGGAATACGAGCGTGCTAAGGCTAGAAAGCCAAACTCGTCCATATCCCATACTCAAGGGGTGATTTTCCTAATCTAATCATGCAAATGGACTAGCCTAGTTCTAACTCTTAAATGGGAATGCAAGTCTAATGTCATGTTTTCATGCAAAGGGGTAAGTAATATATATATAAGGAAAATACGAAATAAGGGATATAAGTAGAAGGGAATACGGGATAAAGGATGTACATATATAAGAAAGTGTCATGCAACATGGTAAAACCCTAAAAAAGTGAAAACATGCATGAGATGAAGTGATTTTATCACACAACCATGATCTAACGCTCGAGGGGCTCCTAAGGGTCTCGCGTTGGACTAGCCCATGTCTACAATTTCCCACTAGCATTGGACTAGTGAGAAAAGTCGGAACAAAGGGTCACAACTAGCGTTGGACTAGTGTGGATTCGAGAAATTGACCACAACTAGCATTGGACTAGTGTGGTGACGTCACACATCGGTTACAATCAAATAAATCATGTAAGACCTAATAAAAGCATGTAAACACATAAATCACATATAGCACATAACACATAAGCATGATATCTAGATGCAAGACCCTAAGAAAGCAATAACACATAGCACATATACATGCAAAACACACATAAGGCAAATAAAGCAAATAAAGCCCTAACTATTACATTCGGGGGAAGCCTACTACAATCTAAGAGGGGAAACGGAATAAAATAAATAAAATAATAACCTAACTATTACAACTTTGGCATTCAAGTGCCTTTCAAATGATCGAAATTGAAAATAACTATACAAAACTAAAACAAATAAAGTGGATAAATAAATAAATAAATAAAATGAAAACATTCAAAAGGCATGCAATTAAGCACATAAATCACATAGACACATAGAGTCAAATAAAGTGAAAATAAGGGATAGAGTGTACCTCCCTTGCAATGGTAATCAAATGAAGGAAAAATAGCTTCAAAACAATAAAAGGGTCAAGACACCAATTAAATAGTAAAGTATAAACAAAATCACCAAATCCCTCCCAATTGCAACTTAAATGAAATCAAATAATGCATAATTTCCAAGAAAAGTAAATTATTGATCACATTTCAAAAATAGAAGAACTACGAAGGACCCAATTGCAAATATTAACCAATCACTCAAACCCAATTAACACATTTTGGGAAATTCACGGGTCCAAGAGCAAGGAAGGGGTCAAATAATGGTTCAAATTGCAATTATTCTAGGACCTAATTGCGAGAAATTATAACATAATTGAGCCATAGTAAGATAAAGGGAAGCTTAGGGGATTAAAGTGCAATTTTTGAAAACCATTTTGCATGCAAGTTCCATGCAAGAGCCATGAAACAAGCTTCTGCAACCGAAAAAAAAAAATGAAGTCTGCTGCATTCCTTATTTCCAAGCTTTGATCAAAACCATTCCATCTAAGCATATAAACATGAAGCTAAAAGCGATTCAACTAACTTCCACGTCCAACAAACGAAAACGTAGAAAGAAATTATGCAAGTTCCTAAAGAACTTTCTTTTCTACACCATTCCATCCGTAAGTTTCTTTCCATTTCATCATGCAAACAAGTTCACCAACTACCGGGATTATCGACTAAATCAAACACGAAATTTTGTTGCAGGATTAAGGTAGAAAATCTGGTTTGACCGACAGCAAAAGAAAGAAAGAAAAATGCAGCAAGAGTTTTTGCAACAACAACAAGCAAACTGCTGCATTTTTGTTTCACTTAGCTGAGCCACATCCATGCAAAGCAACCCAAGAAATTCCCAACGGATTTGATAACTCAACTCAAATACAAGAACTTGGGACGAAGGGGAGAGGAAAGAAAACAACGGAACATAATGCTATGATCATTTGCTGAAAAATTTTACTCAGACTTTCCAAGAAAAACAAACCAAGAACCAGATAATGAACACTGATAGTCTTTGACACTAAGCTCCCAATCACGCACATGACGTCTCAGTCAAACCGCAAACCAATTAAGCGTTTCAAACGAAACCAAAACTTCGGCAATCTAAGGAAAAGAAAGGGGATCTGCGCACACTGCTGCAATAGGACCGAGAGCTTTGAGCTTGTTGCAGCAGATTTTTTATTCGCAAATCTAAACGCAATGCAAACTGAACCCAGGTGACAGGATTATCAAACATT